ACTTTCTTTATTCATAATATTGTGTTTATGAAGGTTTAAACGTGTATCTTCACTGACCCAAACTTCGCACAAACGAACTAAGTTCAATCACGCACATGCAAAATCGAAAAACATCGTTTGAACGAGTACCCTTCGGTTAAATCTTTCTTTCTCAAATCCCGTGGCATCGCGAATTGACCCGAAATCATTTTTATTTGTAAATAATAATTATTCCTGGGCTTATATGGTCAGATACTATTTTAATGTTTATTACAATGATTGTCAATAATTATAATAGTTAACAAACTACTTTTTAACGTCTTCCCTCAATTATCTCAAAAATTATTTTTGAAACGTGTCACCCTTCTTGTGCACAGACGATATTGCTCTGTGCCATTTGGGCCCACTGTATCATGCGGCATCGACTCAGGAGACTGGGTGGGGGTGGGGGTGGGACGAGGAAGAGAGGAGGCGAGGGTTGGGGGTGAGGCGAGGAGGGGGTGAACGCGTGTTTTCGCTCGTCGAGTGACGCCTTGGGCACCGCATAGGCGCCGCCGGCGCCATAACTCAATCGATACAGAGAGATCGAAAACGCCTAGGCATGTGGAGATGTGTGTCCCAAGAGGCAGCTTCTTTAGAAGCGGTCACGAAATACAGGAATGAATTGAAAATTGTATAGAAAAAGTCGTTAACATGTTTGTATAGAGACTCTGTCTTCTGTGGTACAGATTTTAAAAAAATAATTAGAAGGTATTTGCAGAATTACCTATTCCATTCTAATTAAACGAGTACAAATTTTGGGAAATATTTGTTAAAAAAATAAATTTGGTTATTCGTTTTAACTTCCTGAATTTTATTTTTTAATACCTTCCACGCCGCATAATTCAAGCACTTCAAGGTCATGAGCAAGGGCTCTAGGCCCAGAGCAACTGCCTAAGGTTTAAAAGCAGGGGTTACACAAATTGCACCGGTGTGGACGCAGTTCGCAGATGAGACCTTTCGAGAAGTCCATTGAGTGAGTTGAGAAATATTTGTAGAAATTTAATGAAATGAATAGCCATTTCCTGAACTAAAGACATGAACTTATCCTTAAAATGAAATAAGTCCGGCATCATTGAACGCATCAATTGAGAGTAAGAGTAAAAATAAACGTTTGGAATCCAAAGGATCTTTATTTCGTAATCGCGTTTACTTAATAGTGAATGAATGCATTAACCTCCGTTGTTCAGCACAGAAACAAACATTTTTGCCTGTTGAAAGTGCTCTCTGAAATAGAACTTATGTTCGGCATGTCGCAGCGCGTTGGGACAGCTGACCTTGCCGACATCATATACCTGAGCCGACGCACCTTATCGGAAAACGAGAAAGTTCGCAGATTACGAGACTTCCTATGCTCTCACTGATAACGCTCATGATCTCGGTATTGCACTTTCACAAGTTCACATTGATTGAAGTGGAGATGTGAATCTAAATACCTTTATGAAATTTTAATCTGGAGAGCTTACCATATTCCAGAAAAAGAAAAGAAATAAACATGCGCACACTGAGGAGAAATCACAGTACCTTCATTACCTTCTATTTAATAATTTTGAAACAATTCTGTTGCAAAGTTGCAATTTGAAATAATTCAAAATAGAAGAAAACATTAAGGAAGGTATTCTTAATAAACAAAACAGAAACAAGATGAGAAATTGAAAAATAAAAAGAACACCAATATTGAAAATAACATGCTTATATTAAACGTTTTGAAACATGGCAACACGCAAGAAATTCACTATATTCAGGTCATGTGCTCTGTGTGTTTCCCGTCGATAGCGTTACCCATTTGTCAGCTGTCCTTGCGCGCTGCAGCATGGCGTTTACCAAGCACTGTTTGTACTGTTTTTGCAAAAAATACTTTTCGAATATTAACAATACTTACATCATTGCATTTCATTTTTACAGAACTTTAGAATGATGTAGAAAAAATATTTTCTTCCTTTTAAAAACCCAAAGTTGTGTCAAGATCTCTAAAATTACATACGGTACTAATAAGAAAACGAAATATACTATTTGCCCAAACTCCAACATGGTGAAAATAGCATCTCAATATCTCAAACCGTTTTCAAGATATTTGCGGTGGCCAACTTAGGTGTTTCACTCTGTATACAAGAAATAATCATTTAACAAAAAATATCACGAAATGAAAACTGTTAAAGATTTGGTCATTCAAACATATTCCTGTCCCTTGGAAAAATTAGTATTAGTAAAGTGGAATTTAAGAATAAAATAAAAGTACATTATTTAAACTTCGGTGGTTTGATAGAAAACATCCGGTAAACAAAATGTTGTATGCGCTGAAGTCTAGTATACGATACAACTTAAAGTC